GGCGCGGACAAGGGGGTAGGGGGAGGGGGGAAGGCTTCTTAGAGGAGGCTGCTTCTTAGAATGCGCTGGCCCTACATCTGCAAACAAGGCCCGCGCCTTCCAAGAACCAGGGGTGCTTCGAAAAAGTCTTCCCCCCTCCCCCTGCCCTCCTCTGCGCGTGGCTGATGATCTTCGGCGGCGAGCCCGGGGGGGGAAGTCAGAGGGGGCGGGCCCTCCCAGAAGGCTCGGAAGGCCTCCGGCCTTCTGCAGAAAGTCCTCTCGAAGCCTCCTCCGAGGGCACAGACGGCGCCTCAGAAGGCCGGAGGGCACCTGAGAAGCCCCCCGCGGGCTTCTGCGAGGGCCTTTCCCCCGTTCGCGCTCCCAGAGACAGACTGCGAGGGTCGCTTCGGTACAGTCGGGGCGTTGACCTAAGGAACCCTAAATAAGGAACGAGGCCCCTTTTTTCAATGAGTTTACCTTCGATTTCCTGTCGAAAAAAACATGAGGGAAGCCTGAGGCAAGCTGTGAAACACTTAAGGAACGCGGAGCCCCTCCCCAACGAAAAGGGTTCCTTCTTCAGGGCCCCGACTGCAGGTCATCGCCTGCAGATCGCCGGCGAGCGAGGGGGGGGAGGTGAGAAGGGGAAGGCCCTCTCAGAAGGCGGCGGGACTCCTCGGAGGCCCTCGCGCCCCCCGAGGAGTGCTCGGCACCTTCGGGGCAGGCTCGGAGAGCCTCTCCGAGGGCTGGGGGGGGGCTTCCGAGCCTTCTGAGGAGGCCGGCCCCTTCTCACTTCCCCCACTCGCTCGCCGCCGAGCAGAGCGAGTGGCAAGAGGCGGACCTTGAAGGGGCCCTGGGACACACAAATAAATGCACACAAATAACAGGATTCCCCATATTTTCCAATATTTTCTGGGTTTTTGTCTTTCCCCCCACTTCCCACATTTTCCCATCTTTTCTGGGAATCGACGACTAATTGTGTCTGTGTGTACTTTCCCCTCCTGAGACCTGGAGATCTGGCACCACCGTGGGCGCTCCAGGGCCCAGCTCTCCGAACGAGAGCCGCCTCCCTCTGCCCGCCGCGGCCCGCGGGGGGTCAGGGGGCCCACCCTCGGCCGCCAGCGAAGGTCTGCCTCCCTCCCTCTCTCGGTCGGCGCGGGACCCGCCCGCGCAATCACCCTCGACGACCGCACGCCTCCGCGGCTGACGCTGGCCACGGCCGCCGAGCCGACCGGCGCGGGGCCCGCCCGCGCCATCGCCCTCGACGACCGCGCGCCTCCGCGGCTGGCGCCGGCCGCGGCCGCCGAGCTGGCGCCCCAGCGCGGTGTCACGGATGCGCTCGGGGAGTTCCCGAGCGTCTAGCGGCCCTCGGCCAGTGCTCGGCCACTCGTCTCTGATCGTGCGGGACATCCAGGAGGCCTGGAACTCCTGGGCCCCTGAATCCCGAACACTGCTTCCCTCTCCTCTGAGAAGAGGGTGGGGAGAGTGAAGTCGTGGTCGCGGTCCTGGGGTCATAGTCGTCGTTCCACTGGTCGTCTGGTAGACTGAATATGGCGCCTGATCGTTTGGACATCGGTGTTCGCTGGTCGTGGCTGCCTGGGGCGCAGTGAAAGCAGCACCAGTCTGGTCGGGCCGTCGATCGCTGTTGTGGCTTAGGGACTGAGGGTGCGCGAAGGCCTGAGTGGCTAGACAATCAGTGGGAAGGGGGTTGGCTGTGGCGGCGGGCATACCTGCTCTTTTTGATAAGACGCGCTGCAAGTGTCGCCCGCCTCATGATAAAACGACCGTTACCATCTGTTGCTCGGGAGAGCGACGGATTGCTGGTGAGGGAAAGGGTGCGCTTGGCTGCGACCGGCCCTCGTGATCTGGAGTGAACTTACCTTGAGTAGGCCAGCTGCGTTGTAGTCCTGTTGACTCCTCCTCTCCTCGTCTCGTGGTCTCCTCGTATCCTCGTCTCCTCGTCTCCTCGTCTCCTCCTCCTCCTCCTCCTCCTCCTCCTCCTCCTCCTCCTCCTCATCATCATCATCATCATCATCATCATCATCATCATCATCATCATCATCATCATCATCATCATCATCATCATCATCATCATCATCATCATCATCATCATCATCATCATCATCATCATCATCATCATCATCATCATCATCATCAGCATCATCATCATCATCATCATCATCATCATCATCATCATCATAATCATCATCATCACATCATCATCATCATCATCATCATCATCAGCATCATCACACATCATCATCATCATCATCGTCATCTCATCATCATCATCATCATCATCATCATCATCATCATCATCATCATCATCATCATCATCATCATCATCAATCATCATCACCACCACCAACCACCACCACCACCACCACCACCACCACCACCACCACCACACCACCACCACCACCACCACCACCACACCACCACCACCACCACCACCACCACCATCATCATCATCATCATCATCATCATCATCATCATCATCATCATCATCATCATCATCATCATCATCATCATCATCATCATCATCATCATCATCATCATCATCATCCCTCCTCCTCCACATCATCATCATCATCATCATCATCATCATCATCATCATCATCATCATCATCATCATCATCCCTCCTCCTCATCATCATCAGCATCATCAGCACAATCATCATCATCAACATCATCATCGTCGTCATCATCGTCAGAATCGTCATAATCGTCATATTCGTCCTCATGCTCATCATCATCATCATCATCATCATCAGCAGCAGCAGCAGCATCGTCATCATCATCAGCAGCAGCATCAGCATCAGCATCATCATCATCATCATCATCAGCAGCAGCAGCATAAGCATCATCGTCATGATCATCATAATGCTCTTCTCCTTCATCATCATCAACAGCATCATCATTATCCTCATTATCATCCTCATCCTCATCATCATCCTTGTCATTATCATCGTTACCATCATCCTTGTCATCATCGTTACCATTATTATCATAATACTCAATATCATCGTCATCATCATCATCATCCTCATAATGATCATCACCATCACCATCATCCTCATCCTCATCCTCATCATCATCACCATCATCATCATCATCATCATCATCATCATCATCATCATCGTCATCGTCATCATCATCATCGTCATCGTTGTCGTTATCGTTATCGTCGTTGACATCGTCGTCATCCTTATCGCCATCATCAATATCATCATCACCAGAAGCATCATCATCGTCCATATCGTCACCATCATCATCATCAGCATCATGAGTATCATCATTTCTGTCACCATCCTCATTAGCAGCATCATCAGCATCACCATCATCCTCATCATCATCCTCATCATCAGCATCATCATGAGCGTCATCATCATCATCATCATCATCATCATCATCATCATCATCATCATCATCATCATCATCATCGCCATCATCATCACCGTCATCGCCAACCACATTAGCGACGTCATCATCATCGTCGAAACCATCGTCATCACCACCACCACAACCAGCAGCAGCATCATAGTCGTCGTCATCATGAATATCACTATCGTCGTCGTCATCATCATCAGCATCATCATCATCAGTATCAGCAGCAGAATGATCACCATCATTAACATCATCATCATCGTAATCACCCACACCATCATCATCGTCGTCGTCATCGTTGTCATCGTGCGTATCCTCATCGTCATCATCATCATCAGCAGCAACATCATCATCATCATCATCATCATCATCAGCATCATCATCATCATCATCATCATCATCATCATCATCATCATCATCATATGTCTCGTCATTATCCTCATCATCATGATCGTCATCATCATCAGCAGCATCACCATCATCACTACCAACATCAGCAGCAGAATCATCATCAGCATCAGCATCAGTATCAGCATCAACAGCAGCATCATCATCATCAGCAGCAGCACCATCATCATCATCATCATCAGCATCATCATCGTCATCATCATCACCACCACCACTTCCACCATCATCATCATCATCATCACCACCACCTTCATCATAATCATCATCATCACCACCACCAGTATCTTCACAATCATTGTCATGTCCTTCACCGTGCCGCTGGGCACGGAGTGGGCGTGTCCTCATGTCCTTTACCCAATCCGCTAAGCCTCAATCCTCACCCCTGAGGAGTCTCTAAGGGGCCCAGACCCCAAGTTCTCAAATCCCTCGGAGCTTGCCGGGGGCTTAGCGCGGCTCCCCGCTTGACACTTTCGGAGCCAAGATGGCCCCAAGACGGGCCAAGAGGGCTCCAAGAGGGCCCAAAGACAATCCGTGAGGGCCTCGAGTCGCCGAACAAGCGCTCCAGGACGCTCAAGATGGCCCCCAGACGCCCCGAGGCCTCCAAGAGGCCTCCCAAGAGGGCCCCAAGAGGCCAGAATCATTGAATTGTCGAAGGATGTTGAAAGACTGGGGCGTTCTTTTCAGCTTTCCGAAGCTCCAAGACGGCCCACTAGGCCCCCAAGATCGCCCCAAAATGGCCCCGGAGGCCCCCAAGAGAGCCCCAAGACAGCTCAAAAAGGGCCCCCAAGACAGCCCAAGAGGGCCCAAAGACGGGCCCAAGAGGGGGCCCAGATGGGGACCCCGAACAAAAATCTCGAGCCCTCGGCCCCGCGGGGTCCCCGGGAGGCCCCAAGAGGCCCCCGAGAAGCCCCCTCGGCGTCGTCATCGTCATCGTCATCGTCATCATCGTCGTCGTCGTCACCCCACCTCCCCCCTATCCCGTCACCTGCAACCCCTCCGCCACCCCTGGGGAAACGCAAAGGTACTGATACCACTACTCCACGGCCCTTCCCTGGGGTGCGTTCTGACTGGAATTTCGAATCGAATCCAGCGGTGGCGACAAGGGCCTCCCAGGGGGCCGAAAATGTGAGAAAACGACGGAAAAGTAACGGTATGGGTACCAGTTCCTCCTCTGACCCCCCGCCCCCATTCCTCACCCACCGCTCCACGCTGGCGCGGGCGCCGCCATCCTCGCACCACTCGGAGAACTCCGCGAAGACCTTGTGCGACCTCGGGGCACCGCGGGGGCGCGTAGAAGGCCCCGGCGGCGCCCTCGCCCCACTTGGCGGGGGCACTCCCGCCGGCTGAGGCGAATGCCCAACGCAGGAGGGCCGAGAACCAGTCGGCCGCGCAGCCTCTGAACAACACGGAGGCATGCCCCACGACGTTATCTCGAACTGCGAATGCCGGCAACCGCACCGAAGGCACTCGGCGTCGACAAGGCATTCGGAAAGTCTGCTGGGCCAGACACGCTGGACGAACGGCATGCCCTTGATCGCGCTGACCTCCAAAATGTGTGATGTCCGCTGCAGGACAGAGCACAGAGAATAGTCATCACCCACAGCCTGCCATAAAATGGACGGCGGTTATAGGTGATCGACAAGCAGTAAAGCGGCGCGCCTACGCGCACGGCTCTGGCTCGAGAGGCACGACGCGTCGGAAGACCCCAATCACATTCGACATGCTCGCCGTGTGGGCAAGGTCTTCTGACACGCGCGCGTCGCCAACTTCTACAAGCCAAAAGGACTCCGCCTTGCAGAATGCCTGACCTCTGTCGCGCCTTAGAGAACGTGCTTATCATCAGATCCATTGAAAGCCCCAGAACTTCTGGGCATCGACGCCCGCAGCTGCGCCAGCAGTTCATTCCCCATGCAGTGGCACACTTGACGCCACGGGGTGTCGCGGATGGAGGCGCATGGAACTCCCGTCGATGCCGAGCACAATCCCCTGCCGTCCACACGGCCTTCGGGATGATGAACTCACACGCCGACGGCCTGCCTTCATCCGCGCGTCAGCCGATGCCTCCTGCCACCGCCGCTTCCGCCAGTGCGCAGGCCCACCCTTCGGGGATGGACAGACCCCCCCTTAGCAAAACGTGGTTTAGTGAAAACGACCTGAGGCCCAAACCTGGCAGGCGCAAGCCTTGAAAATAACGGCCACGGCGCCATCTCGAGAACCGGAAAGGGACAATTCACTAATCGACGTGTCACTGTTGGGGGTTCTGTCCACCCCCGAATCCTGGCGTCGAAAGTTGCGGTGAGGACCTAACGCACGCACGCACGCGCGACATCAGCGGTGCAATGCTTGGCCGCCAACTGGGCGCCTCGCGGAAGCCTTCCGCGGGCGCGGATGCCGCCAGGCTCCCGCTGGCCACTCCTCTGGACGGGCGTGGCCAAGGCTCTGCCCAATCGACGAGGCTTCGCGTCGGTGTCGTGGCCCGTGTCTGTGGGCGGGTATGCACTCGTCGCGCTGACCGCGGCAAGCCTCAGAAGCGAACCGCGACTCCTCTGCTCCAAGCTCACAGGACAACACTTCTCCATCGCCTTCCAGCCCCCTCTCCCGATCCCGCCAGCCTTCCTCTTTCCATCCTCCAGCCTCCTCCTGCCTCACGATCTTCCTCCCCGAGCAAGCCTTTCTACCGTCGGCGGGGTCGGTCCACCAGGCTGTAGCCTACCGGGCGACCCCGCGAGAACAGGCACTGCTGAGCGGTGGGTACTCCTCGCCCTCGGAAATGACCTTCGCCTGAAGGTCGGTGATCATGGTCAGGACCTGCGAGGAAATGCGACAAGGGAGGAGGGCGGGAGGTCGCAGGTGCGGCGAATCGCCCGCAGACCCGCAGGAGCTCTGCGAGCAGTGCTTCCCAGACTAGGCCTGCACGAGGACCCACAGCGTTCGCTTTGGACTGGCGTTCAGCCGCGGAGTGAGCAACGCTCCGGCCCCACGAGCCCGCCCCGCATGCCCCCGCTGCCTGGCCCGCCTGCGCCGCCTGCGACGCGCCTGGCGGGCCACTGCCCCCGCGTGCCGTCTGCCCGCCATACATGTTCAACAGAGTCAGCACCGGCCTTCCCGCCAGATCGGGCACGCGCATGCCGTGCAGACGTACACAGCGACCAAGACGCGCTGCGTACGGTGTTCCCGCACAGACGTGGATGCATACCGTTGCACACCGCATGTATACGGCCAACTCTCAAAATTACTGAATCCACAAATTTTGACGTCTCAATTATGACTATGTCCTAACATTGTTATCATTATTATTATGCCGCCTTCCGCCCACCTTCTGCCAGCGGATCCGCCGCCTTGCGCCAGCCTTGCGCCGCCTTCTGCCAGGAAAAGAAGACACCCCCTCGATACCTCGAAGGCGAGGCCGTCTCTGGAAGGCCTGATACGTCTCCTGCATGCACACAGTGTGAGCCGCTCCATCCTACCGAAGATGCCCTCTGCCGCGTCTGCAGAGCGATTGGCGCGTGCCGAGCTAGTGTTCGTTTCGGGGCAGGCAGCGCCCGAAACGCAGCAACGGTTCGACCCCCCACGGAATGGATTCCGAGAGAGACTCGTATCACAACGCCGGTTTCGAACAAAAAACATCAAGTTGTTGACCACGTGCGCGGCGAAACCTTTGAGAGCGCTCTGGCCCCTGGAGGCCTCCCATTATGGCCAGGAGGCCAGGAGGCCACGTGCCAGCCTCAAGGCGGACAACAAAGGACAGGACAGCCCACGACTGGATTCAAAGACGACTCCACAGATGGCCAGAACACAATGCCCCCGGTCCCGTCAACATGGACCCAGGACTCATCGACACGCCCGCCAGACTTGTTTATGCAACCCCCAAGATCTCAAAACACGCTCTTCCGAAAAGCCCTCTGCGAGTGGGCAGGCTCAGAAAAACTGAAGATGTCACTGTATGTGATTTCGCTTTGTCATCGCGAAGGTCTCTGGCCTCGGGTTGGCCTCCAGACGTCCTTCGTGCCGCCGAGGACGGCGCCTCGGCAGTCAAGGAGGACCACACCCGAGGACAGGCGCCCCAGGGCGGCTCCGAGACGGCCCAAGGCCAAGCCCAAGACGGCCAAAGGCAACCCAAGGCCAGCCCATGACGGCCGCGAGACCAGCCAAGGACTGTCCCAAGACCCGCGAAGACGGCGACAAAGCCTCCATACTGGTTCAATGACTGGTTCAAGAACACCCTGTATGGACCCAAGACGTCCTGAAAAAGATCTACCAGCAAACATCGCGAAGCCCATGCAACGGCACGGCTGTGCCACGCGACAAAGGTGCTACGCAGAAGTCCACAGCGCTGTGGCAAAGATGCGCGGCAGCACACTTGGACAATGCACATATGTATGGTGTGCTCGATACACCCCCCGTGCACACCATCTCCACACCTCCAGTTTTGCAATCAACGCGCACCGCAAGTATGGCCTACACATGCTGGTCATGCACTACTGATTCGTCAGCGCTTGTGCACGAAAAGACGCCATCTAGAATGCCGTCACCAGAAACAACCAAAGGCCGTCTACAATGCCGTCTACAATACCTTCGGCGACGTTGCACCCGCAAAGCGTGTCAAACCAAGTCAGGATTGAAACTTCAAACACCAGCACCTCCAATCTAAACACCCCTACTCTTCACCCCACACCTCAACAGCGCGGGCAAGCAACCCTGGACCTCGCTCGAACCGGGGATAATGGCACCCAATGTGCTTCCAGGTGGAACCAACACACCTGAGCTTCAGAACCGACCGCTCTGAATTCAGACCAGACAAGTCTGAACTTCAGACTGGATGGATCGTTTGCGTGAAAATGTATCCAGCAGACCACCTCGCCTGAGGGAGATCCGAATTTAAGAACATGAACCATCTAAACTTCATGATACCGGAGAAAAAGCCCAATCAGAATATGTTTAGGGCTATGGGGCTATAGGGCTATAGGGCTATAGGGCGATAAGGCTATGGCGCTATAGGGCTATAGGCTATAGGGCTATAGGGCTATAGGGCTATAGGGTTACAGGGCTATAGGGCTATAGGGCTATAGGGCTATAAGGCTATCGGGCTATAGGGCTATAGGGCTGTAGGGCTATAGGGCTATAGGGCTATAGGGCTATAGGGCTATTGGGCGATAGGGCTATAGGGCTATAGGGCTATAGGGTTATAGGGCTATAGGGATATAGGGCTATAAGGCTATAGGGCTATTAGGACTATAGGGCTATAGGGTTATAGGGCTATAAGGCTATTAGGGTTATAGGCTTATAGGGCTATAGGGCTATAGGTCTATAGGGCTATAAGGTTGAAAGGCTATAGTTAAGCTATAAGGTTACCTGGCACCCAGGCACCCGGGCCTGGGCACCCGGGCACCTGGGCACCTGAGCGTGCCGCCGAAATCGTCGCCAACCAATCACCTAACCATATGAATCCGCTAGGACCCCTACAGAGACAAGCCCTGATTGGAGAATTTTACAAACAAACAAGAAAAGACTAAACCAAACGCATGAACGCACATGAGACATGCAATTCACACGAGATTTACACACGCATGTGCGCGTCGACGCATAGCGTACCTAAGCGGCTGCACAATTAACCAAACAGACTATACACCAAAGTTGCCTGAAGAATATGATCATGTGGGTGACTGGTGGTCCCACAGCCCTGGCCAAATAACGCACATGACACGGATAATACCTGAATGAAAACGGTTCCTTCGCTGAATCTGATCGGACAAGAACGGGAAGCGTCGATTCTGTCCATTGGGCTCTTCGGGGGGACAAGAAAAAAAGATGATGGCGACAACGAGGCGGCGGATGTCGAGGATGGCAGCGTGGATGACGGAAAGCAGCGAGGGGGGCACAAGGACAACGAGTAGGACGACAAGCGCGAGGACGAGGAAGAGATGGAGGAGTACGAGCGCGAGGAGGAACGAAGCGGAGAAGGAGGAGGAGGAGGAGAAGAAGGAGAAGAAGGACGACGACGACAAAGAAGGACGGCAAGTAGCCCGACGAAAAGGACGTCGAAGAAGAGAGGGATCCTCGTGATCTTTTGAGACTACCATCTGGGCTGTTGAGGCCGTCTGGGGCTATCTTGGGGCATCCTGCAGGGCTCTTGTGGCACTGTCGGGGTCTTCTTGGGTGCTGGCGTCGGCGCTGCCGTCGGTGCCAGCGTAGGCGCAGGCATTGGTTCTGGCGTCGGTGCTGGCGTCGGCGCAGGCGTCGGTTCTGGTGTAGACGCTGGCGTTAGTGCCGGCGTAGGCGCAGGCGTTGGTGATAGCGTCCGTGCCCGTGCAGGTGCTAGCGACGGCGCTAGCGTAGGCGCCAGCGTTGGAGCTGGCGTCGTACCTATTGTGGTGGCCGCTCCAGTTGTCACTGCCTCGCTGGTGGTCACTTCGTTGCCAGGGAAGATGGTACAGGCTCCAATCATTTCTGCCGACGTGTCAACCTCCACGACACACACACACACACACTTTATCAGTCGTCCCTGCTGTGGTGACCGCGCCAAGTGTCTCCGCTTCGCGGGTGGTCGCCGCCTTGCTGGGTAAGATGGTAGGCGCAGGCGTTGGTGCGGGCGTCGGCCCTGACGTAGGTGCCGGCGTTGGTGCTGGCGTGCACGCAAGCGTTGGTGGTGGCGTCGGTGCTGGTGTAGGCGCCGGCGTTGGCGCTGGCGAAGGCGCATATGTTGATGGCGTCGGCGCTGGTGCAGGCTGGCGTCGGCGTTGGCGCAGGCCCCAGCATTGGTGCTGGCGTAGGCGCAGGCGTTGGTGCTGGCGTCGGTGATGGCGTCGGTTCTACTCGCCGTGCAACTCATGGGATCCACCATGCTCCTCGTAGGCGCAGGCGGTGGTGCTGGCGTCGGTGCAGGTGTAGGCGCTGGCGACGGCGCTGGCGTAGGTGCCGTCATTGGCGTTGACGTCGTCCTTGCTGAAGTGGCCGCTCCAGGTGTCTCCGCCTCGCTGGTGGTCACCTACTCGCCTGGGAAGATGGTACAGGATCCACTCGTCTATGCCGTCGTGTCAACCTTCACGTCCCACGCTTCATCAGGCGTCCCTGCTGTGGTAGCTGCTCAAGTTGTCTCCGCCTCGCGGGTGGTCGCCTTCTCGCCTGAAAAGTTGCTAAGCGCAGGCGCTGGTGCTGGTGTCGGCGCCGGCGTAGGCGTCGCCGTTGGTGCTGGCGTAGGCGCAGTTGTCGATGCTGGCGTCGGTGCTGGAGTCAGTGCTGGTGTAGGCGCTGGCGTTGGCGCCGGCGTAGGCGCGGGCGTTGGTGCTGGCGTCCGTGCTGGTGTAGGCGCTGACGACGGCGCTAGCGTAGTCGATGACAAATGCCAAATATCACGGAAATGGCGCCGATGCCAAATGTCACAGAGATGTTTCCAATGTCCGATATCACGGAGATGGCGTCGATGACAAATTTCACGGGGATGGCACCGATGTCAAATTTCTCGAATATGGTGCACCTATTGGGGTGAATGTCGATACGTACAGACTGAGGGGGGCATGATTTGCCCGCCCTATCTTGATCTCACAGGCCTTGGCTCGAATCAGAGTTGCGCACATGTCCTAGTCATCCAGCATCCGCCCTGGCCGCATGGTCGGTAGGATTGGCAACGCCTCCGAGGGCTACCTGTGACAATAAGTGCCCAAGAGTTGGGCTGGAGGGTCAGACCTGGTGGCCAAAGATTACTCTGAAGGGGCCTGGAGCCTTCCAAGAATAATCCAGCGAAGCCAGAACCATTATTGGACTGACTATGTACGTTCCACTGAGTTGTCCCTTCTCGCCTTGGCGGCTTCCAGTGGCCCTCTGCGGCCTCGTGACGATCCCGCGATGGCCGAGGCGGGCCCCAACAGGGGCCCGACGGGGCCCCAGGAGGGCCCCAGAGGCTCCCAACAGCATACAGTCGGGGCGTTGACCTGAGGAACCTTAACTAAGGAACGGGACCCCTTTTTCCCCTGAGTAAAACTTCTATTTCCAATGGAAAACCTAAGGAAAACTGCAAAACGATCAAGGAACATCGAGCCCCTCCCCAACGAAAAAGGTTCCTTCTTCAGCGCCCCGACTGTAGGAGGCCTCGAAGAGCCTTCGGGAGGGTCCAAGAAGGCTCCAGAAGGGCCTCGCATGGCTGCCGCGCTCCCGGGCAGCCAGCGCCGCCCTGGCCACCACCTGGCAGGAGAGCGCTCGATTGCTCAAATCGGCGCGCCTGGCCCAGCTGCCCGAGCGGTGGCATCTCGTGCAGGACACCACAAGAAGCCTATGTAGGAGGCAACTTCTGGGAGGTCTTCGTGGGCCACTTCACGAGAGCAGGCCAGATTGAGCCTGGGATTAGCGATGGCCAGGGCAGCAGAGCAGGCGCAGTTGTGTACGACTGATGCACATGGACAGGTGGCTTCGCGCGCCCAATCGCGGCTGAACCCCATGAGCGAGATTGAGGTGTTCGAAATCGAGCTTTGGGCCAAAATTGCTACAGGCGTGCCCTCTTCCCTCCCTCCTCATTCACAGCATCCATCCATCACCTCCTCCTTTCGCTCCCTCCCGCCGCTCCCTTTCTCGACGGCGAAGCCGGGGGGGAGCCCGAGGGAACAGAATTCTTAGAAGGCGGCAGGCCTTCTGGAAAGCTGCCTGCGTCATCAGGAGCGGCTCAGAAGACTTCCCGGAAGGCCCGAGGCCTTCGGAGGCTTCCGAGAAGGCCAGCCCCTTCTCATCTTCTTCACGGGGCGCGCCGCCGACTCGCCCTTGCATCGGTTCCTCCGCCCTTCCTCCGTAGTCCTCAACGTGATGCCCTCCTGAGCCGTCGGGATCTAAACGTTTCTGCCCCGCGAGTGCCTGCTCGATGGGGTTCACTTGCTCCGCAAGTCCGCGCGCGGCGACCAGGAAGGCGAGAGCGAGATGCATCTTCATTGTCCCTGGCGGAAGTAGAATGGAGGAGAAGGGCCTACAGCAGGTTCGAGTCGCAATGTCGCGGGCGTCACCCTTTGAAAGATCGTGGCTCTCCGATAGCGCAGATCGCGCGACACCGGCTGATTCTGGGCCACTGGTGGCGTTGAATCTTGAACGCCCGCGCTGGGGTCGCCGCCGCGTCAACGCGACGCAAACCTGCCGTAGCATACGACTTGGACGCAGCCTTAGCAATTCGCAACAGGCGCTGTCTGATGTTACCATGAGAACTCGATAGGAACACTCCCCTCAGCTGACCTGTCCATTGAGATACCACGGTGGGACAGCGAGCAGTCGAGCAAGGTAAACAGAGGTGAAGGCAAACGACTCGCGAGGGAGAGAGAGAGAGAGAGGAAAGGAAACGAGAAAGACAAAGAGAGATCAACTGGGAGAGGGGGCAGGAGAGAGGAAGAACGGAAGCGGCAGATGGAGAAAGAGAGAGGGAGAGAGCACAAGACGTACAAACATACATGTCTGGTCTACACGACTGCATCGGCGCTTCGCACCACGCACGTTGGTCATTCACTCTCGGCCTGCGGGCGGACTCTGACAGAGAGGAAAAATAACTAAAAAAAAAAAAAGCGAGGCATAATTGTCTGCTTCTCATCGTCGTCCTTATGCTGTTAACTCCCTCTCATCCCCTCATAGTTCATCGCTTCTGCCTCGTTCTTTGCCTCACCCTGGGGCTTCCGGAGGCCTCCTGGGCGCCTGAGGAGGCCTTCGGGGGCTTCCTCGGGCCACTTTACTACGAACCACGGACTCGGTCAACGACCAGTTCCCGACTTGGAGTGCTTCGGGGGGCGTCTTGGGGCCATTTTGGGCCGTCGTGGGGCCCTTTGCGGGTCATGTTGGAGACATGCTGAGCCGTCTCGGGACTCATTTCAGTTGTCTGCAAGCCATGGAGGGACAAATGGGGACAATTGTACGGTCTCGGACGCCCAAACTACCGAAGAACCGAGTACCCAAAAATCACAGAAACGCATTGGAAACCGATGATGTTGGCGTCTGCAGGGCCTCTTGGGAGTGTTCTTTGGCGGGGCCGTTGTCCACACTCCTGACTGCTGTGCACGGCGTCCAAGGATCCAGGGGGTCCAGCATTGAGAGGGGGGAGGAGCAAAAGAGCGAGAAAGAGAGAGAGAGAGAGAGAGCGAGAGAGAGAGATCCTGGCGAAGGACCCAACCATATGCAATCGTGAATACCGCGGTTTACAGAACTGTCTTCGGTGGAGCTCCCTATGGCGCCACGAAGCGAAGCGAGCGAGGGGCGTACAGTAATGGTGGTGAGGGTGCGCATGCGAACTGTGCCATTGGGGTCTCAAGTGGAGCTCCCTATGGGGCCACGAAACGTGTGCCGTGGTGTGCCGCAATGGGTCTGGGGTCGGCATGCGAACGTCGCAACTGAAGCCTTCGGTGAACTCCCTATGGGACCACGACGCGTGTGAGAGGTGTGCCGAGACGGGCGCCTCGGTGCCATGCGGGCGCGGCCAGTGGGGCTCTAGGTGAAGCTCCGCATGGGGCCACGAAGCGCGTGCGGGGTGTGCCGAGGTGGGTGGGGCGGCCGCAGGTGGACACCACCACTGGAGCATTCGGTGGAGCTCCCCTACGGGGGCCGGGAAACGTGTGATGCGTGCGCCGAAATGGGGGGGGGGGCGGCCGCCTGTGACCATGGCTAAAAAGGGTTTTCGGGGGAGCTCGCCGTGCGACCACGAACCGTGTGAGCGGTGTGCCGAAATACGCGGGGGGACACGTGCGAACGTCGCCACTGGGGCCTCAGGTGGAAGTCTCTATGGGGCGCGGAGGGCAGGGGCAGGCATGAGAGGAGGGAGTAGGAGGAGGCAGAAGGAGGAACGCGGGGCGCTGTTTCTTCAAAACGAGGACCCCACACCACAGGATGGCTGTGAAAATAACAAGAAGGAGAGAACGAGATACGGCGACAAAAAGAGCGTGAGAGAGATGAAAATATAAAGATAAAGCAAACACTCAGCCTGGGGAAATACCCAAGCACATGCAGTTTCGACTACCGTCGTTGTGAATATCGTCTAGATAGAGCCCCCCTTATGGGGCCACGAAGCATAACAGGGGTGTGCTGAAATGGGGCGGGGCCGCCAGGCAGGCGTCGTCACTGGGTCACTCGGTGGAGCTCCCTATGGGACCACGACACGTGGCATGCGGGCCCTGGTACTGGGGCATTCGGTGGGGAGATTCATGGAGCCACGAAGCGTGTGAAGGGTGTGCCGACAGGGTGTTCGGCGGCCGCAGGTGGACACCGCCACTGGGGCCTTCGGTGGAGCCCCCCTATGGGGCCACGAAGCAGGTGACGGGTGTGCCGAAATGGGGCGGGGCCGCCCTGCGGGCGCTGTCACTGGGGCCCTCGGTGGAGTTCCGTATGGCCGAGCAGCCACAACTGGGGGAGCTGTGGTCCTTACCCCCCTGGGGGAACCCATCGCATCGACGATCTCTCGAGAGGGGTGTCGAAATCGATGGGTCCCCCAGGGGGGTAAGGACCACAGCTCCCCCAGTTGTGGCTGGCCTGTATGGGGCCATGAAACGTGTGAGGGATGTGCCGAAACTGGTGGGCCGGCCCCACGTGGACTCCGCCACGGGAACCTTCGGTGGAGCTCCCCTATGGGGCCACGTCGCGCGGAGCCGAGAAGGGCGGGGCGCGGCAGCATGTGGGCACCGCCACCAGGGCCTTCGGTGGAACTCCCGATGCGGCCACGGAACGTGTGAGGGCTGCGCCGGAATGGGTGGAGCGGCACTGCCACTGGGGCCTTCGGAGGAGCTCCCTATGGGACCACGAAGCATGTGCGAAGTGTGTCGAAATGGGTGGGGCGGCCACATGCGAACATGGCCATTGGGGCTTCAGGTGGAGCTCCTCATGTGGCCACGAATCGTGTAAGGGATGTGCCGACATGGGCGGGGCGGCCACGTGCGAGCAATGCCGTCGGGGCATTAAGTGTGTGTGTGTGTGTCACCTATGAGGCCACGAAACGCGTGAGCGATGTGCCGAAATGGGCGGGGCGGCCATACGCGAACTTGGCCACTGGGGCTGGGGCCACGAAACGTGTGAGGTGGTGCGTCGAAATGGGCGGGGCGGCCACATCCGAACATGACAACTGGGGCTGTATGTGGATATCCCTATGGGAGCACGAAACGCTGTGCTGGGTGTGCCGAAGTGGTTGACATGCGGAGGGCAGGGGCAGGCATGGGCGGAGGGATGGAGAAAGAGGAGGAGGAGGAGGAGGAGGACGGGAGAAGAGGAGAGGAGAGGGGAGGAGAGGAGAGGAGAGGAGAGGCGAGGCGAGGCGAGGCGAGGCGAGCGAGGAGGAGAGGAGGAGGAGAGGAGGAGGAGAGGAGGGGGGAGGAGAGGAGAGGAGAGGAGAGGAGGGGAGGAGAGGGGAGGAGAAAGGAGAGAGAGGGAGAGGAAGGAGAGAGAGAGAGGAGAGGAGAGGAGAGGAGAGGAGAGGAGAGGAGAGGAGAGGAGAGGAGAGGAGAGGGAGAGGAGAGGGGAGGAGAGGAGAGGAGAGGAGAGGAGAGGAGAGGAGAGGGGAGGTGAGGAGAGGGGAGGGGAGGGAGGGGAGGGGTCCGCGGCGAACGTCACCTTCGGACGCGCCAGACAGCAGGCCTGTGCAAGCCCCGAGGCTGCGAGCGCCCCGCGGGCCTCTCCTCGCGTGGCGGGAGGCGCCCCTCGCGGCGCGGGGGGGGGGACCTCCGAGGGGGAAGGAGAGAGAGAGAGAGGGAGGGGGAGGGGGCAAGCTAGGTGCGCTCGCGTCATATCTGACATCCTATCCATCCCTCCCATCCCTTGCCATGGCGTAGATCCCCTCTCTACTCGCACAGTCGGACGTCGAGCAGGGCAACGAAGGGAGGGAGGGAGGGAGGGAGGGAGGGGGAGAAGGAGGGAGGAAGGGCGAGGGAGAGGGAGAGGGAGGCACGGAGAGGGAGAGAGAGAGAGAGAGGGGGAGGGGGCAAGCTAGGTGCGCTCGCGTCATATCTGACATCCTACCCCTCCGTCCCATCCCTTACCATGGCGCAGATCCCCTCTCTACTCGCACAGTCGGATGTCGAGCAGGGCAATGATCCCGAAAGGGTACGCGATGCATTGTAGAGCACGGCATGGCATGGCGTAGACGAGCACCGCGAAGCGTAGCATCACCCTAGCATTGCATGGCATGCCGTGGCATGGCACGGGAAATGACGCCAGCGCTGCAGCGGGAGCACGAGTCGAAACGAGCGGAAGCGCGGAAATGAGGCCAGCGCTGCAGCGGGAGCACGATTCGGAACGAGCGGAAGCACGCAATCGGCCCAGGAGGCCCCCCGGGCGCCAGAAGCAGAAATTCAGCATTTTCAAAAAAAAAAAAAAAAAAAATGTATTAGAATGGCCTTTTTTCGGCGCCGCCTCGGAACTCGATTTTCCGGCGCCGGCCGGAACCGGCTCCGGACCCGGCTCGGGCGCCGGCCAGGGCGCCGACTCGGGCGTCCGGCCCGGGCGCCCGCTCGGGCGCCGGCCCGGGCGTCGGAATCGGCCCAGGAAGCCTCCCTCCCGGGCGCCAGAAGCAGAAATTGAGCATTTTCAAAAAAAAAAATGTGTGTATTAGAATGGCCTTTTTTCGGCGCCGCCTCGGAACTCAATTTTCCGGGGGCGGCTGGAACCGGCTCCGGCCCGAGCGCTGGCCCGGGCGCCGGCTCGGGCGTGCAGCCCAGGCGCCGGCGGAGTTGAGGCCAGCGCTGCAGCGGGAGCACGATTCGGAACGAGCGGGGCCCGAAAATGAGGCCGGCGCCTCAGCGAGAGCAGCATTTTGGAAAAAAATGCAAGCGAAAACCCAACTCCGGGGAAAACTGTGTAAAAAACAATACGCGGGGGGGGTTCGGCTACTCCCATTCCGTCATCAGGCGAAGAGGGAGAGTAGTATTCACATTGAGTAATTGTAGAGGGAGGGAGGGAGGGAGAGGGGAGAGAGCCGAGAGAGGCCTGAAGGAGCGGGGGAGTGGACAGTAAACCGGGTGGCGGGAGAAGCACCGGAACGAAGAACAGGAAGCGGGGGAGCAGCAACAGCGACAGAAGCATGAGAAGAAACAGCAGGGCCACGAACGGCAGGGGGACAAGGTCGGGAGCGGCCAAGAGGGGGGTGTCCAAGGGGGGGGGGTGCAAATCATGACCGGCGGCATGTGCGCGGCCCAGCGGGGGAGCCAGGGACGTAATGAAATAAGAAGAGGCGCCATGGAATCTGGGGAAATATTATGGCCCACGCCATGATATCCACCCCCCACTAGTCATCACCCCCCTCTTTTCCGCCCCCGACAAGGAGGAGACGGAAGAAAAGGAAAAGAGTAGGCAAGTCGGTGACCACTACGTGGGCGCATGAACTTACACCCCCGCCTTGGCTTTCATCCTGGTGGGCCCTCGCAGACGCCAAGGTCACTCCGATCACAATGCATCGAAATACGCACCATCCAAATTCGTATCAACTATTGATTGAGATACCTTGGAATCCGAGTCAGATTGGCAGGTCCAACTCGCAAAGAAATCACACTAGCTTGAGCTTCTGCCGGGAAAGCTACCTGGACAGAATCGGTGAGGAGAAAAGGCAACGCGAGAGCGCCCTGTCGTCACACGATTAGCAAGAAGGCAACCGTGGTCACTGCTACCGACCTGCGCTTAGATTACAAACCCGTCATTACAATAAATAGCACATAGTCTTGATCAAACGCGACTGAAGAGTGGTGGAGTAGCGGGCGGAATCGTCGACAATACTCCACCCGGACATGCACCTGGCCCCATTTGTCATGAGGGTCTCGGCGCAATAATTTCCGATCCAGCTTCGAGATAACAGGAGACTCCAACACCATATTATGAAAACACACCGCCTTGTGTCAGGGCTGTGTACTTCGGGAAACAAAGAGAAACATAAGCATGTACTGTCGGAGGTCCGCGCGGATTTCTCGGATCGGCGCTGGACCCCTCTCTGGCGCGCGGAACGCGCCGGAGGCGCCGCCAGGGGGCCCAGCGCAGATCCACGAAGTCCGCGCTGACCGTCGAAAGTTTATGCTTATGCCGATTTCTCTTCCTCGAAGGAGACTCCAACGCCATTACCAAATCGCACGAACTTGTGTTAAGGCTGTGTACTGCCACTTCAAAGGCAGCAACTACCATTGGAGGCGACCAGAGGGTCTGAACTGGTTGGGACCCCAGAAAAAAGATCAGGAGGGCGGGGGTGAGGCCAAATCCAATGAAAATCGGTACCCGGAGGTCCATCAGCTGCAGTGTTTTGCCCCAGATCCATTTCTGACGGTCCAGAAGCCCTGAAGCGGCCACCAGAAGCCGAACGAGGTCAAAACCCGCTTCCCCGAACCCAACAATTAGCCTGGCGAAGGACCCAACCATATGCAGTTGTGAGTGCCCCACTTGTCAGTACCGTCTTCGGTGGAGCTCCCTGTGGGGCCACGAACCCTGCGAGGGGTGCGCCGAAACAAGGGTGGAACTGCATGCGAACGCTGCCACTCGGGCCTTCGGTGGAGCTCCCTATGGAGCCACGAACCCTGTGAGGGGTGCGCCGAAATGAGGGTGGAACTGCATGCGAACGCTGCCACCGAGGCCTTCGGTGGAGCTCCCTAAGCCCCGAACCCTGTGAGGAGTACGCCGAAATGAGGGTGGAACTGCATGCGAACGCTGCTACTGGGGCCTTCGGTGGAGCTCCCTATGGGGCCACGAACCCTGTGAGGGGTGCGCCGAAACAGACACATGCAAGGGGCAGAGGCAAGGAGGGAGAGGGAGGGGAGGCAGCGGGAGGAGAAGGAAGGAGGACGCGGGTGCTGCCTCTTCAAAACGAGGACCCAACACCACAAGATAGTTGGGAACAAAAACTCGAACCTGCCCGCCCCTCCTGCTGGCAGGAGCCAGCGCCGGGCCACCTCAGACCCCCAGGCAGCTTCAAAGCCGTCGCGTCGGCGGCGGCAACGAGAGCCCCACGCGGACCCGCGTCCTGGGGGGTGGGTCGCTGGCCGCGGCTGCGTGGGGCACAAAAAAGCCTCCTGTGGGCGCGCGGGCCTCGAGCCTGAGATTGCCGAGCGCACGCGGGCGCGGCCGCGCGCGCGAGGGGCATGGATGGAGGCGCCCAGGGATACGCTTTTGTTTTTTCCGTCGTCGGCTAGGCAGAGGAACTGCGCTGGCGGAGAGCTACCTAAACGGGGGTGCCGTTGCAGCGTTTTGTGCCACCATGCAGGAGGGGACGGCGCAGAAGCAACGGCCGAAAGAGGGGCGGGAGGGAAGCGAGGCCGCTCAGGGGGGGACGGGTCACGCCCCGAGCGCGTGGCGGAGACACAAATAAATGGAGGCCCCTACGAGGCCCCCAGGCGCCGTGTAGCCTGCTGGGCACTCTTGGGAGCGTCTGATCCCGACCTTCCCGAATGCCTCAGTCATCATGGGGGTCGTCGTCCAGGGTCGGCGGCACTCGCAATAAGGCCTCAGCGAAAGTATGCACAAATCATAAGAGCCCGCCCAAAAGCGAAATCTCCAACGAAACGAGCAAATGAAAACTCGGCGGCGCGCCCAGGGGGCAGTGAGAAGGGGCAGACCTTCTCGGACGCCTTAGTAAGGCGTCGGGACTTCTCACAAATTTTCTAAGCCTTCCCCGAAGGGACAGCAAATTGCTCAGGAGACCGGGGGGCTTCCGAGAAGCCCCACCGCCTGCTGAGCAGGCCTGCCCCTTCGCCCTTCCCCCCCAGCCTCGCCGCCGAATGCAGCAGGATGCTGGTCATGGGGGGGCTCCTCCTCCTCCTCCTCCTCCTCCTCCTCCTCCTCCTCCTCCTCCTCCTCCCCCTCCTCCTCCTCCTTCTCCTCCCTCCTCCTCCCTCCTCCCTCCTCCTCCTCCTCCTCCTCAGAGCCGACCCGAACCGAAATCTCTCCAGCGAGACATGCCAAGAAAGACAGCCGGAGGTCGAGAGGGAGCACTTGCGGCCGGGGGCGCGGGCGCCCCGACAAGGGGGCACGCCTCCCGCTCCCTGGCGTGTCCACTGGGCCTCGAGGCTGGCCTGGGCTTGGACGATCTCTCGGGCGGCGAGCGGCAGGTCAACCCTTGGGCACCCAGGGGGCATCCTCAGGGCTCAGGGGGACCCCACCTGGGTCTCACCATCTGTGTGCCCGTCGTGGTGGGCGCCGTCCAGGGCTCTATAATAAGACACCACCATTCGCGTGCCCGGGGGCACGGCGTGCTTCGCGCTGCCCGAGATCTGGCCAGGACCACACCAGCTGCGGCCCGCCTGAGGACAAGGCACCCTGCCAGGCCAGGACACCATGGTTCGCGCGCCCGCTCGAGGGCGTTCCACGGCTCACCAGGACACCAATAGGACTATACCAAGACCCCCCCCAAAACCTTGGTTTCGGGATCCCACGGAAAGCGACCGGGACCCGCGCAGAACCCTAGCAGATCCTTGCCAGGCCCCTGGTAGGACGAGGAACGACCAGGACCCTTCCAGAACACCCTGCCAGGACCCTGGCAAGACACTACCAAGAATCTGCCAGAGCCCTCCCAAGAACCACCAGGGCCCCACGGCGCACGCAAACGGCGCCCCGCGCACGGGAGGATCCGCCACAAGACTAAATCTGCGCCCGCTGAAACCTCAAAGCCCTCCCCCTGCTCTTCCTCCAAAATCAAGCCGTCTCTTGGGCGAAGGGGGTGCAACGCGCGCCGCCGGGGTCGCGGCGCGAGGGCGGCGGATCCATCGCCCGCTGCTCCTTGCCCACGTGGTCCTCCGCGGTGCCGCTCCGCGCCGGTCGCAGGCGAGGACGGAGAGAGGAGGAGGAGGGAGCGAGTGAGGACAGAGGGAACGAGTGAGGGAGGGGGGGAGAGCCGCTCGAGGTGGGCACAGCAAGTCCGCGCCCAGCGCGCAGCGGGGCTCGCTCAGGGCGCACGCCGTGTGCCGAACAGACTGGGGCGCGCGAGTGGCAGCGGGCAAACTCTTTCGCGCGGGGCTCCGCGAAGAGTCCTCGACCGTCGGCTTCGCGGGCTCGTGGCGCGGAAACGTGTTTGCCGTCGTCTCTGCGCGTGTCGCTGCGAGGGAGAGCACTGAAAGCTTGGGGGCCTCCGAACTTTTTGGTCGGCGGCGCCTTGGATCCAAGCTGCGGTCAAGCTATACAGCAGGGACGCTGCTGCACGAACTGGGCACACGGGTGGCAGGAGAGACAGGAGTGCAGGGGGGAGGGTCATGGACGGCCAGAGCACCCTCGGAGTGCAAAGCACTTCGGGCTGTGCCGAAGCAGGCTCCCGTCCTCGCGCAATTGCCCGCGAGTGCCGAGGGGACCTCCGAACAGAGAGACCGCGCAGCCGCGCGGCCGTGTGCCCGACGAAGGCCGCCTGGCAGACGACCTGCCCCGGCGTCGGGCGCCACGGCGGGGGCCCAGAAGGTCGGCGCGGCTCCTCCCTCCTCCTCCTTCCCCCTCCTCCTCCTCCTCCTCCTCCTCCTCCTCCTCCTCCTCCTCCTCCTCCTCCTCCTCCTCCTCCTCCTCCTCCTCCTCCTCCTCACCCTTCTCCTCTTCCTCCTCCTCCTCCTCCTCCTCCTCCTCCTCCTCCTCCTCCTCCTCCTCCTCCTCCTCCTCCTCCTCCTCCTTGCAAGCCCGCACGGGGTGGGGCGCCCCCCGCGCAAGCATGCGAGCAAGAAGTCCTACACCCGGAGGTCCTCCTGCCAGGCGGCTTCAGCGACGCACCGTGCAGCTCTTGTACCAACACGTCGGCGACGCCAGGCAGCTCAGCGTGACGCAGTCCCAGAGATCCGACGTCGTGATCTGTTCAGCACGCGGCCCCCGGACGCCTCGACCCACTCCCCAGGACCGGTTCTTCCTCCCGGGTCGTTCTTCGACGGCCCCGAGGCCCGGCGAGGGCCCCCCGAGGCCGAAAACAGCGAAAAGCTTCCCGTCGTGATTTCTCCACGACCCGAGGGGCTCTGCGGTGCACGCCCTGCTCGGCGCCTGCGGCGCGCCTCCCGGCGGACGACGCCGGCGGCGGGCGGGCCGGCACGCCGCTCGCCGCCGGCTGCAGGCGGGGAGCGGGCACGGCGGGTGTCCCCGGTGCGGGCCGCGCACGGCGGGGCAGCGCCGGCTGCGCGCGCCGGGGAGGCGGCCTCGGCGAGCGCGTGCGGGGCGCGGGGCTGCACTGGCAAGACCCTTTGCATAGGAGATCGACTGCAAAATCCATGTACCCCCAGATTGGCTTCCTCGTCGAATCCATGGACAAAAAAATAGAACGTTCGTAGATCTACGTCGCCTTCTACGAATTGTTCATGGATTCGACGAGAAAATCAATTTTGGGGTATATTAATTATGTAGTCGATCCCCGACTCAAACCCTGAGAACCTGGCGACTCTATTTTTCTTCGAGCCAAGGCGTTTTCGCCTCGTTTCGGGCCCTGGGCCCCGGGGCCCTCACAGATCGATCTGGCTCGAAAAAAGATTCGGAAGGATCGGCGATGCAGCGGCGGTGCATCGGCGGTGCGTCGTCGACATCGGCGATGCACTGGCGACATCGACCTGGAGAAAATCCACCTCCACGTCGAGTCGCACCAGCGATGCATTGGCGATGCAGCGGCGATGCATCAGCGATGCGGCGCGATGCTTCGAAACCATCTGCTCGGACCACATCTGGGAGGCATCGAGCTGCACAGATATGAACTGTCGGAGGTCCGCGCGGACCGACGAAAGTTCATGTTTATGCCAACGCTTCTGCTTCGGACCATGCACCGGAGAACGGGCAGGGCGCAGGACAGCTGCTGCCACCAGACGTGCCAGCAGAGCAGGCGGAGACACGCGCGGGTTACCGCCCAGGGAGAAGATGGCGGGAAAGGCCAGGTGGCGTGCAGAGGCACGCGGCAGGCACAGGGCGCCCCCAGCGAAGGCGCTGCCGCTGAGACCAGGGCAACGGCGCCGTGCGGGCGCGAGCATGTCTGGCAGAGGCAGGAGAAGGGGGAAGAAGCGGCGACTGAAGAATGAGATGAAGAAGAAGAAGAACAACATCACAAACAAACTAAACAAACGAACAAACTAATTAACTAGCATATGAATATATATATATAGGGAGAAAAAAGTATATGTAAAAGGTCCAGCGGCCCGCACAGACTTTTTGGATAGGAGCAGAACCCATCTCCCTGGCGCACGGGGCGCGCCAGGGGCGGCGCCAGAGGCGGTGCCCTGGTGTCCCGACGCCGACCCGAGAGATCCGCGCGGATCTCCCAAAGCTTCTGCTTCTGCCGATGCCTGCTCTTCGAGAGGTGGCGAGCGATGCGACCCCAGCTTGACAATTGCCGAAGCCTCCCAGACGGGGTCCGAGCAGATGGGATCGGAGGATCGCGCTGCATCGGCGCCGTCGGCGCGGTGAGATCGGGTGCCACGTCGAGCCGCAGCACGGGCCGGCACGGCCCCGGCCGCGGCGCTGCGCGGCCGGGGCCCCCGAAGCGCCCGCGGCCGCGGCGGCGGCCGCCCGCACCTCGCGCAGAGGAGGCGCCGCCGGCTGCTTCTCCGCGGACCTCCTCTCGCCGTGGCAGAAGATCGCGACGGGAGGCCTCCGTCCGCTTTCGGGCTGCAGGGGCCCTCACGGGGCCCTGGGGCGGTCGAAGGGCTACAGTCGGGGCGTTGACCTGAGGAACCCTAAACAAGGAGCGAGGCCCCTGCTTTTTCCACGAGTGAAACTTCGATTTGCCATTGAAAACCTCAGGAAAACCCAGGGCAAACTGTAAAACAATCAAGGAACACCGAGCCCCTTCCCAACGAACAGGGTTCCTTCTTCAGCGCCCCGACTGTACTCGGGATGAAAGGCTCATCCTGGGGAAGAGGTGCAGACCAGGGAGGCCCACGCGGTGAAAAAATCGCGACGTCGGAGGCACGGGAGGCCTGGGCCGAGGCACGGGAGGCCTGGGCCCCGATGTCCACCGATCCCTGGCCAGGCCCATCCTGAACCCAGCAGCTGCGTACACGCCCTCCTGGCCAAGCCAGGAGGGCGTGGCAGATATCCGCTGATCCGGCGTGTGAGTTACAAGGAGTCTCAGCTACAGCCTCGAGGCTGAGCCTCAGCCTCCGGGGGGGTTGCCGGGGTGGCTCTGCCAGGGAAGGGGGGGTGGGGAGGGGGGGTGCGAGTTTCCGGCGGATGCGTTTTTTGACACCCCTCACAAGGATCGTGCCTCCGAGGGGGGTCCGAACTCGAGTGCCACCCCTCCCGCACCAAGAGGCTCCGAAGAAGCCTCCAAGAGGCCCCAAGGGGCCCAGAAGAGGACCCCAAGAAGCCCCAAGAGACTCCCAAGAGACCCCCAAGAGGCCCCCAAGTGGCCCCAAGAGGCCCACGAGGCCCCCAAGAAGCCCCAAGAGGCCTCCAAGAGGCCCCCAGAGGTCCCGGCCAACCACGATATCCCTACAAGCGTCCATGAGGCCTCTGGCCCACCACCCACGCACGGTGGTGGGATAGGCCGACGGCCACTGGATAAATGCGGAATGAAAGGGGGAAGGAAGGGAAAAGAGAGGAGGGACGAGGGCGAAGGAGGATCACATCAGTCGGAGCGCCCCGGATCGGCGGCACTGGCCGAAGGCCACTACAATACACCGATGCCGGGCTCAGGATGGGCGCGGCCAGGGAGCAGTGTATATGTGTCCGCCGCCGTGCCACTGGGCACGGAGTGGACGTGTCCTCAGGTCCTGGGCGCAACCCACCAAAAGCGTCAATCCTGACTCTCGGGAGCGGCCAAGAGGGGGGTGTCCAAGAGGGGGGGGGTGCAAATCATGACCGGCGGCATGTGCGCGGCCCAGCGGGGGGGCCTGGGACGCAATGAAATAAGAAGAGGCGCCATGAAATCTGGGGAGATATCATGACCCCCGCCATGACATCCACCCCCCCTGGTCATCACCCCCCTCTTTCCCGCCCCCCAAACTCCTGCGGCGTCTTCCCGGGGCCCGGGCCCCCAGAGTTCGCAGAAACCTCCCGGGGCTCGGCGCGCGTGCCCCCCCGTGGCCTCCGAGGGCGGGCGCCGAGCGGCCTCCGAGGCGGCGCGAGTGAAAGGGCCCCGGGACAGACAAATGAGAAGCGCGCAAGGTTTTAAAAGACGCCCTTGCAGAAGGCCGCCCCCTTTGCGCCGCCCATGTGTGGGCGCCGCCAAGAGGGCTCGGGAGTGTCCTGGATTTGGCTTCGCAGCCCCCCGCGGGTGCGACGAATCTCCGTGAAATGGGGCCCCCCTGAGAACAACGCGACGGGACGACCTCTATCGACCTGTTCTGGGCCCTGGGAATCTCACGGCCGATCTGGTTCGAAAAGTTCTTTCCCCTCCTCACCAAGAAGGCCCGGAGACGCCCCAAGATCGGCCAAAGGCGCGCAGGGTGGCCTGACAGTGGCCCAAGAAGCCTCGAAGAGGCCTCCCAGGAAGGCCCCGAGGGGCCAGCGTCATTGATGTGCTCTGGGAGCTTGAAGGATTTGGGCGCTCTCGCCATTTCGGCTTTCCGACGCTCCAAGACGATCCGAGAGGCCCCCCAAAACCACCCCAAAACAGCCAAAGAGGCCTCCAAGAGGACCCCAAGACGGCCCAAGAGCGCACCAAGTCAGGGCCCCAAGACGGCCCCAAGAGGGGCCCAAGACAGCCCCAAAAAGGAGCCCAAGAGAGGGAACACGAACAGAAAATACGAGCCTTCCGCCCTAAGAGGCCCCCAGGAGGCCCCAAGAGGCGCCCGGGAGGCACCAAGAGGCCACCAAAAGGCTCCCAAGAGGCCCCAAGAGGCCCCCAAGAGGCTCAAAAGAGGCCCCAGCAGGCCCCAAAACAGCCCCCGAGAGACCTCCAAACTGTCTCCAAGAGGCCTCCGAGAGGCCCCCCACGAGATCCCAACGAACATCCAATAGGTTCCATACCCACAACCCAGGCACGGTGGCGGGATGGACCGAAGGCCATTGGATAAATCTCGTCGCCTTAAGAAATGCGTTGCCTCTGAGTACTGGGCTCGTGAATGAGGGTTCACCGACGCTCCTCTGGGGGTCACCGGCCGCGGAAACTTTCTAGTCGCAGCGGCGAGGATCCCCGCCGCGTTCGAAGGCAGCCCAGGGACACTGTGGGGCCTCATCGGGCACAACAGGCGAAAGAAGAGAGAGAGCGCACGGGAGGAGAAAGGAGCACGCCCGGGCGAGGAGACACTGGAGGTCGGGTCTGGGGGGCAAATCTGAAGTGGCTGCCTCATCCTCCCCGCCTCCAGCCCCTTCTCCCGTCCATTCCTACCTCCCTTTCTCATCCCCCCACCATTTCTTGCCAAAAGGATGGGATCGTCCCCCCCACCATCTCCTCCCCGTCCCATCAGTCCTTCTCCCCTGCTTTCCCTCGCCCCTCCTTGCCACTCCTCGCCCTCTTCCCCTCCCTCCTCTCGGGCTCCCCGCAAGCGGCGGCTAAGCCTCAAACGGCCTCGGCGGGCGTCCTTCCAGATGCGGTTGAACTCCTCTGTGAACTGCCAGTCGGTGTACTTCGTCAGCCGCGTGGCCTCGCGACGGCGCGCCCATTTCCCGACCATCCGAGGGCAGAGGCGCCGGTGTGGCTAGGTGGTCCTGAGCTGGGCGAGTGGTTGTCGGGTCGGGCACACGCGTTCGTGCTGGCGCTGGCCATCAGCGCTGGCGCCACTCGTGGCTACGAGGGCTGGGCCCGAGCCAGTAGGGGCTGGGAGTGGTGGCAACCAGCCTTGGAGCCACCCAGGGCTTGCGGCTCTGGGCAGATGCTAGTGGGATCCTGTAGTTGCAACCAGCGCAAGCGATGGCCAAGGCCACTGGGACTGGGAGGGGCCAGCAGAAGCTGATGGCGTCAGTCGCCATGGGCGCCGCTCAACGCTTGCAAGGCCAGGCAAGAAATGTTCTGGATACTGTCGGCGGAAACAAGAGACCAGAACTGGCCCCCTTCAGAACTAGTAGCGGAGCCAGGCCAGGGCCGTCACGAGCAAATTGTGGCAACCAGCGCTGGCGTCGACGAGAGCCAGTGGGGCGAGGTAGGGGCCGGAAGGGGTAAGTGGCAGCAATCGACTTTGACATCGTCCGATGCCAAGGGCGCCAGGCGGATACTTGCGGGACTATCCTGCGCAAGTGGCGCGGGGCAGGGACTCAAAGAGGAGAGCAGGGACCCGTGGCGACAGGCTGAGTTGGCACCACGAAAACCGTGTAGGGCCAGGCAGGGAGTGGCAAGTGCCAGCAGTGGCAATAAGCATTTGCGCTACACATGGCCCGCAGGGTGCAAGGGCTCACAATGGCGGCAAACAGAGATTGAGCAGCCGAAAGCTGGTGGCGTAAGGAGGGGCAAATAGGAACTGTCAGCGGCAACCAGACACACAGGGCTAACAGTGCCTAGCAAGGGTAAACAGCGTTCGCGCAAACAAGGCGAGAAGCGAAACTGGGGGGAAACGCTAGACAGCAAGCGAAAACGGCAACTTTCATACAAATACACACACACACACACACACAACTCTACCTGAACGCTTACCCAGTCAGGGAACCATTCCTTTACGACCAAAAGGACTCACCTAAGAGCGCACCCACACGAAACACCAAGAGTGCATCAACGAAATACCGACGCGATGCACTCCGACAAGCAGGCGAGCTTGAGGCGCAGGGCCGTCGTGCCCACACTGACCGCCCACTAGACCAGCATTGCGTGACCTCTGAGCGGCATGGCCGGAGAGACCAGAAACAAATCGATAAGTCGGATCGGCGATCAAAATGTATGGGATCGGCGGAAATCGGCAGCCGAGTCGGGAAAAGTCGAATCGGCGGAAATCGGCAGGCTAGTATGTCTCCAGTAAGAAATCGGAACCCCAATCGGAATCCCAAGTCGAACCGAATCGACATCGGAAGCCCTCGAAATCGAATCGAGTCGAATCGGAGTCGAGCAACGATCTTTCAAGATGAACTCTGGCTCGCTCCTCTCGACCTCTCGCAGCCCCACTGCAGCACCGAGGAGCCCACACCAGGAAAAAGGAGGTCGAGGGGAGCCGGACGGAAGCCCAGTCGTTCCACAGCGCCGGTCAGATCCTGGGGGTGAGCTCGGCCCCACCAGCCCAACAGATGACCACCAACTCCATCCCAAGAATCTTCGGACCGAACTGCCCCCAAAAACCTGCCTGTGAATGCGGCTTCATCTTATAAGCTGAAAGATGTGAATCGAAAAAGCAACGGTAAACATGACAAAGTTCACCGAAGTGTCGTGTGGGGTCCTGTTGAGCCCGAAGAATCTGACCAGCGACGCGGACGGAAGGAAGCGGTTCGGCTGTCCCCAAGGGCCCCATCCCACAGTCGCTAGTGCCGCAGCCTTTCAGCCACGCGCCTACTCACATTATACGGTAAGAGCTTCATACAGAGATGCTCCGTGCGGGAGCAGAGCCGTCTCAGGAGGGCCAAATTGATAGACGAAGCCAAACGGTACACTTGACACCGATTGCATCGAGAGGGGCGATTTGTATACGCTGCGAGATAGGCGCAGTGTCACCCTGCTGGCGGCACAGGTGGAAACGGCGTCATCTGCCCACATGTTTCTGCTCCATCCTCCGCATCCTCACCATTATCCTCGCCGTCATCATCAGATCACATTCATCCTCATCTGGTGGTCCTCCTTGCCTCCTGTCGTTACCGTTCGTTCCTCCTTCTCCCCCTCCTCCTCCCTATCCTTTTCTTCCCTCCACCTCCCTGCTGCCTGAGCTAATCGTCCCCCGTCGTGCCTAATCCGTCCTCCCCATGTTGCCTCCTCCTCCTCCTCCTCCTCTTCCTCCTCGTCGTCTTCATCATCAACGTCCTTCGCCTCCTACTCGTCCTCCTCCTCTTCCTCCTCCTCCTCCTCCTCCTCCTCCTCCTCCTCCTCCTCCTCCAGCGCAGGCTTGCAAGCACCCAGCAGCAAGTCAGCCCGTGTGGTTCTCAACCCGAGGCGCGCAACGGGGAGAGAGATGGGCGAACACGCGTACAGGAGGCACTGAACGCAGCTCTTCTCCTGCTCCTCCTGCTCCTCCTCCTCCTCCTCCTCCTCCTCCTCCTCCTCCTCCTCCTGCTCCTCCTCCTCCTCCTCCTCCTCCTCCTCCTCCTCCTCCTCCTCCCCCTCGTCCTCCTCCTCCTCCTCCTCCTCCTCCTTCTTCAAGGGACCCAGACCTCCGAGTTCTGGGCGCCCTGCGCAGCCTTTCCAACTGCCTCGGGAGTGCGGCTGGGGGGCCTCGACCTCCAACCTGCCCCCTGAGGTGGTCCCGCGGATCCGTGCGGACCTCCTCGGGGGCCTCTCGGGCTGTCTCGGAGGCCCTGGCAGCCCGCCCACGAGACCAGGGCTGAAAAAAAAACATATAAGTTCTTGCACGACTTGAACCTTCTCTGGTTTTCAGCGCTGCGAGCGTCAAAGACGGCCCATAGGGCCCCCAGGAACGCCCCGAGACGGCTTCCAAAGCCCCGACGAGGGGGCCCGACGAGGAGCCCAAGAGGAACTAAAGGAAGCCCCACGCAACAGAGGCCCAAAAAGGGAAACTCGAAATTACGTCTGGAGCCCGCCACCTCACGATGACCCCCGCGAGACCGCCAGCAGACTCCCAGGAGGCATCCGAGAGGCACCCTTGCAGCTTCCAGGAAGTCCCCGAGAAGCCCCCTGAAGAGGCCTCCAGGGAGGCGCCAGAGAGAGCTCGATGCCTTGGGACCACGGCCCGAGCACGGTGGCTCTCGGGCTACTGGATCCACCACCTCGCGTTGATTCATCCCAGGGGTGCGTGGCATGCCGAATATTGAAGCACGCTCCGGCCCTTCCAATAGGTTCCCAACCGCCCTTCGGCACCTCGTGCCGTCCCCGCGTAACGCACGCGAACTCCTCTCGTGTCCGAGAAATCCGCCTCCAAGACGGCCCGGCTGCCAGACGGCCTAAGATGGTCACAGATGCCCTCGAGATAGCCCGAGAAAGTCCCGAGAAGCCTCAAAGTTGGCCGAAGACGACTCCAACACGGATCGCGATTGCCAAGCGCCAGCCCCAGACTGCCTCGAGGAGGTCGAAGGTCCAGGAGACCCCCGATGCGCCCATGGAGGCCTCCAAAAGGACCCCCAGTGGGCCCGAAAAGGCAAAGATCTGTGAAAAATCCCTCCAGGGATTCCAAGAGAAGCAACCTGATACAGAAAGGAACCGCTAAAAACCGAACGGCGGTGACTTGCCGCAGGCGTCTTCGACATCGAAGCAGCTGCCCCATTTCGCTAGCGCAGCGGGGCTTGCTCGAGCTGCCCCGTCCAGGCAGCAGTTTTCCCCAACCGAGGCCTCCGCTTGGGAACCCTCACGCATCTTGGTCACCTCGCCTCGCGCATCGCACCCCGCGATGCGCGACGCGCGGTAATCTGCGCGCCCCGCGGCCGCTCGCGAGACTCGCGCGAGGCGCCGCGCTCCTCCTGCTCCGCCTCCTCCTCCTCCTCCTCCTCCTCCGAATCCTCCTCGGAATCCTCGCCTTCTTGGAGAAGGGCAGCCACTCTGGCCCGGGCCGTGGCGCGCGAAGCGCAGGTCTCTCTTCGCAAACCCCCGCTTCCGAAGATAGAGCTGGGGGTGCCTTAAGAAACACCATACGTTGAACCACGCCTTGCGCAATGGCAGGAGCCTCCAGGTGCCGCAGCTGCACCACAGGTGGCGCCGTGGGTTGCGTCGTGGGTTGCGTCGTGGGCTGCGCCGAGGGTTGCGCAACGGGATGCGCCACAGGCTGGCTTGCAGTGCCCTGCACCGCTTTGCATCGCTCTGTGTTGCACCGCTTTGCACTGGTGTGCATTGCGATGCATTTCGCTGCACTGCCTTTCATCGCCTTGCATTGCCTTGGATTGCATCGCCTTGCATTGAACAGCTTTGCACCGCCTTGGATTGCCTTGCATTTCATTTGACTGCATGTCGTTACTTGTCGTAGCTGTGCGTTGTATTGAGCTGCATCGATTTGCGCTATTGGGCATTGTGTTTTACTGCTGCGTATTGTTCTCGTTTGGTTCGAACCGCATTGACGTGCATTGTCTTGCATCCTGGCACACGGATTGTACCAATTCATTGTTTGGGGTCCACGCTTATAAACTCCTGACTGCGTGCATGTCCTTCCAGGCGTACTCCGTCCAGTCTACTGCATCGGTTTGCAGTGCCACCTTTCTGTCACGCGCATTATCCCACTCATATGTATATTACCGAGCCTCCACGCTGGCAGTCAGACAAAAGCCACCAGCCCCGTGGGGCGTGAGTGGCTTGGGAAGTTTCGTATTCCCCTTTCCCTCGGTTCCCACCCCTTACAGTCGAGGCGTTGACCTAAAGAACCCTAAATAAGGAACGAGGCCCCTTTTTCCCATAAGTTCAACCTCGATTTCCCAGGGAAAACCTCAGGAAAACCCGAGGCAAACTTTGAAACAATCAAAGAACACCGAGCCCCTCCCCAACGAAAAGGGCTCCTTCTTCAGCGCCCCGACTGTACCCCCTCCCCCTGGACCGTGAGGGTGATTTCGCAAGGGGTTGGAGCATCCAAAATGGCCT